TGTTGAAACCACGCTCAGCTGCAGCCACAAAAGGAAGCAACCATGCACGCAGTCCCTTTTAGCCCGTAGCTACAGTAAAGGCTGAAGATCTTGAGTGACAAAGGCAGCCGCGGGAACAGGTGGAGCAACCGCCGCTGCACAGCACATGCTTTCTCATCCCTTATAATTTCTTTTATTGCGCTAGAGGGATGTGCTGGGCAGCTTCGATCACTCCAAGTTTCCTTCGCGGTTAGGGCCCCTTGCTTCCTGTGCAAAGCAAGTGACCAGTACTGGTGCAGGCTGGTCCAAAAGCTGATGCTGGTTTGCCTCTTCGAGGTAACGATTGTTTCGCTCCAGCACTCTCCAGCAGACCTCGCCAGTTGGACGTTCAAAGCGGCCGAAAGTGGTTCGCAACGGGTAGACAGCGCTGCTGAAGCGAGGCTCCGGAGTTCGGAAGCTCTTGGCAGAATGGGCGATGTTGATGCCCATGTCCTTGTGGTTGTGCCAGCCTCGCATCTCCGCGAACTTCATCAGGAATCCCAGCATAGGATCATCTCCACTCAGAGGAAGGCCCGGCAGGTCGATGGTAGTAACCGGCGGGGCTTTGGCCACTTTCTTTCCTTTGGAAACCTGCTTGACAAAGTTCGGGCTGTAGGTAATGCACCACTCACCACGATGGAGCGTCTCCTGCAGGTGGGTCACATCCATGTGTTTGGTGCCGGCGTCGCAGAACATGTTGGCCGTCGCCGTCCAGCGCAAACTGGTGTTGGGTCGCCGAAGCACCGCTCGCAGCCAGGCCACCGTGAAAGCCAACGATTTCTGAGAGCCAAAAGAACTGGTGTCAGAGGAGGCCTTGTCGTAGGTGTCCTTGGCATCCACAACCACCGTCAGCGGTATTGAGTTGATGCTCCGGTCGATGGCGTGCTTGCCATCCAAAGGTAGACCCTTGGCAGCTGCCACAAACCCACGGCACAACTGCCCAACATCAAATGCCTCCTCGGCGCCGAGCGTTTCGGCCGCATACGACGACCGGCAAACGCGACTTAGCCGGTGCGATCTCGTATCCAAGACGTTGAACTTGCCAGGCCTGCCTGCGAGTAACTCCCGGTCGGCCAGCAACACGAAGTAGCACGCCTGAGAGTAGACCTTCTCCAGTGGCGGGGCTTCGGCTGAGCCCTCACGCGTGACCGTGCCCAGCGAGCTGTCTGTAACCACCACCAAGCCAGCCTCCTCAAACTTGATCGGCTGAAAGACCATCTCGTAGTCAGGCTTCAGCAGGAACTCGTTGAGGAG